TCCAGTCTAAAAATATAGCTGGCTCGAAAACACTTGATTATTTTATAATAATTATCATTGACCGAAACCACAATTGTGCGGCTGGCTTCTGTTTGTTGACTCCATCGATGTGTTGTTTCGTCTTCCACCTAGTGTTGCCTATCTTTTGCACTTCTTTCACTGTACTGATGAGGGCCGAAAGCTCGAAACACGTGACTGCGGTTAACTTTTCCTGAGGGCTATGTCCAATAATCTTCTCGTAGTTTGCCTAAAACAGTTCTCTCAATATTTCTTCCATCTTGATTCTACTCCTTGACTCGGATGTCACGCAGGTAGCTATAGCTGGATCCTGGATTCTGATTGGTTGAACAACAATTAACCTTGTCATGGCCACGGAAATCATGAGCACCTCAAACACACAAACGCGAAAAAAATAAAATTTTACACCAAATATAGTAACAGAAAAAGAATCAACTACCCTTGCTTATGCTCCTCAATGAATTTGACTAGAAAATATTCACTAACAAAAAAGTTATGACCAGGTGAACATCGATCATTGTATGTACGTGACACAGAGGCAATTCATATAAATTTCAGATAATAATTCAAGGGTTGAAAAATATCCAAGTCTCAAGGGTTGGTGTCTAGCGGATTTCACTATCAGGAAAAACTGTTGAATTGAATTACTCAAAACCAGTCTAGTAATGAAGCTGACTCTAAAACATTCTGACAAGTACAGCCATAATAGTTATTTATTATTCAAGGGAAAAAAGTAGTAGATTTTAGCTCCAGGTTGTGTTGTCTCCCGACGCGTAGCGGAGGGAGACAAAAAACCGTGAGCTGAAATCTAATATTTTTCCCGTGTATAATACACTATTTTTTTCTGTGTCAGAAGAAAGGACGAATCAATATTGAGACGATATCACATTATTTTGAAATCGGAAAATTATCGACGTGAAATTTTAAGTATTTAACAGTAGGGACACCTGATGCGTTGTAGGCATCTTCATCATTCTTTTGAAGTAATCAATTATCTGACGTCACTTCTGTCAGTCCAACTCTGTGATTTGACTTAAAAATTTTGCGAATTTAGTGGTTGTTTGGTAATAAACGTAACCGCGAAGTCGAATGGAAGATAAAAGGACTTGCAGTTCATTCTGAGAGACGGTATTATTGACTCATTTTTCAGAACTATAGCACAACAAAAGCCATCAACAGTGTTTATTTATGTGATATATATCCAGGAAAAAAGTAATTTATGGAAAGTGACATTTTATAACCTGCCAACAGAGATGAAATGCCAAACTTTTTTCCCGTCACAGAAAAAAAAATTTTTACGTCGTCGGGAGTAGAAGTTAGTTCCTCTGGTACCAAAACAGGCGCAGAAGACTCTATTCCCTAGGGAGATAATGTGACATGTTTTCTCCCTAGGGAGTTTATACCAACTTTACATTTTCCGCATAGCTCTGCGCTTTCTTTTCGGAACACCCTTCTCTGAAGCGAATAGCAAGTAAAGAATCACTGCAGAAGCAGTATCAATAGTTTCTTGGGGTTTTCCCTCGATTTCTTGTTCCATAACCGATAACCATTTTCAAAGTTATTTTCATGAATTTCAGTTTGATATTTGCTGTCACCATGGGTTGTCAAGAAGATGCATGTTGTCAAGATACGAATTCCACAAACTATACTACTACTGATAATGATGACAAAACACTTTGACCAAATTTTTATTCTCCCTTCATTTTTTTGTTTTCGCCAGCGTGAAAAATAGTATAAACACCTCAGGGCAGAATGCTATTTTTCCGTCGGGGCTTTGTATCTCTCGGGCTTCGCCCAAGTCGCGCCTTGGAACACATTTTGCATTTCTGTCCCTTGATGTATAAGGTACTATATTGTTCACTTGTCCATTATTGCTTTATAATACCTTGGCAACGGTTGCTATTAACGGCGCGTTATGAAGGGCGTTATGCATCATAACGCCAGCTAATTGTTTTTTTCTCTAGTTCATAAAATGACATACAAATTCTTGATGGTACGCCAATAACACGGTCTCATCTATGGCAATACTTTCATTATTCAACTTCCATTGATAATAAATTAATCGAAGCCTTCTCGGTTTTTTATGATTTTCTTGGGAAAATTCTTATTCATTTCCATAATCTCATAGGACTACACAAACAAAGCAGCAATGACATTCACTAAATTGAATGATGACAGAAACATTCATTAAACGTCAAAATATCAACGAATGCCATGTCTACCATGAGAAGAAGAATGGAGAGAAAATGATAGGAGCAATGAACAGCTTTTCAAAATCGATTTTTCATTATAATAGGATAGTTTTTTCGTGCATGGAAAATTTAATCTTGTATGCACCACGAGCGTTATTAGATCGGGCAGCCAATGGCCCTCGGGTGAATGTTACCATAAGGGCCGTTAGGATCTATTTAAGGCACGAATTTTTGCCAATTTGAAATCGGTTTTCATCGATAATGAGCCTATAATCTCTTGACAGTTTCTTGTGGCAATATGATACATCTGTAATTTCAGATAATATTGCTACAGGGTGATAATGGGCTTATATCTCAAAAAATTTTTATTTCATAATTCGATAGAACTCACCCCAACTAGCTCACCACCGCAAACCGTTTCTTGCTGTGAGCTCCCTACTTTTTATAAAAAATTATTGAAATCCCCGATTTTTCGGACCTCTGAAAACGAGGCGATGATGTGACGTCAAAACCCAAACACTGAAAAAAAACTATTCCAGACAGAGATGAATGATACATGATTTCTGACAAAGTGAATTAGCGCGAGATCACAGTTGAAAGTATTAATATATCAGTTGCCTCAGTCTCCGTCGGGCGTTTGATATTTTCTTTTAACTATGGCGAGATGAGTTTTCTACGTCATAAGAGGGTCCGTTTTCAGATGGTACTATTATTTATGTCCAGAAATTAAACATTCCACTTAATTTTTCGATCGAATTATGTCGTCAATCATTATTTATGTATAAAAGGATCATTATAAACATGGTTTGAGTTAAAAGTTCTACTAAGGTGTACACGCCCATTGGCTGGGTGTAAAATTGCATCGTGGTCTTCACCTTACCGTTTGAACAGATTATTTTTTTTTTATTTTTATCCACACCTGTATCCTCTTGATTGATGCTTTCTCTCGAAACATTTTAGGAATTTTCAAATTCAGAGCTTTGATAATCGTGTTATGAATATTCATTCAAAATGATGCATTTTTTCGCCGATTAATTGAATGAAATCGTAATTTTTTGAATTTTATAATTCATCTCAACGTAAATGGATCATTCTGATGGAAAATGCGTACCATTATATGACCTTCGATCCGAGAAATTACGAAACCATTTCGAGGTCAGACATCAGAGATTCACGACTTGACTCGATATTCAAGCTACTTGACTTGACTTGACTTGACTTGAAATCAAGTCAAGTTCAAGTCAAGCGAAAGTTTTTTGATTTATCAAGTACTTGAAAAATCAAGTAGTTCTATCAAGCAGCAGTTTTATTGTGTATATCTATACAGCGTGACTCACGGTCGATGTTATAGGTTAGACGTTTATGGAGAACGCGACGCGGGATTTTTCAGAAAATTTCGCATACACAAAAAATTCCTGAAGTTGAAAAATCTCGATTTTTCGCACTCTTTATCTCCATAATCTTTTCAGCTATACCCCGAGTGTGATGTATCGATGAAATCAAATCTTCAAGGAGAATCTGAAAATGCAATAAAATACAGGGTGTTCAATTCAAAATAACAAAGTGGTTCCTACTTTTCTATAGAAGTGGCAACGTCAAGATTTTGAAAATATATCAGATCGATAGTACCGGTGATGAAATGTGAGATGCGAAATTTTCAGAAAAATTCTGCGTTGCGTTCCTATCATAAACGTGAACGTCTAACCTACCATCGACCGTGAGTCACCCTGTATATAACTGATGAAATGAAAATGGCATCGTAAGACTGACTGCGCGATCGATTCAGTCAGCTTGGATCTCGGGGAACCCCCGTATTTTGTCTAAGCGTGAGCGAGCTTGCAGAAATATACGCCGTGCGACTCGTGCGTATCAAGATCAAGTATTATCAAGTAGCTTGATTTCAAGTCAAGTAATAGATATCTCAAATACAAGTCAAGTCAAGTACGTAATTTGCCACGAGCTTGATTTTCAAGTCAAGTCAAGTAGTTTGGTAAAATATCAAGCTACTTGACTTGATGAATCTCTGCCAGACATCCTCATGACGAAGTAACACTCCATTATTTCGCTAGTAACACAGAGAAAATTAGGTTATATATACTGTAGACTACGTCATTCTAAATTTCATCTTTGAGTATTTCTTGTATCATTTCTTCAGAATTTTCGAACACAATCACATACCTGACGACTATACATACAAAGTTGATTCTTCGAAAAATGATTCCAACTCCCAATTTCATTCAATTAATCGTCGAAAAAATGCATCATTTTGATTGAATATTCATAACACGATTATCAAAATTCTGAATTTGAAAATTCCGAAAACATTTCGAGAGAAAGCATCAATCAAGAGGATACAGGTGAGAAAAAAAATTAAAAAATTATCTGTTCAAACGGTAAGGAGACGACCACGATGCAATTTTACAGCCATTCGCAATGTTATCTGAAATTACAGAAGTTTCATATTGCCACAACAAACTGTCAAGATATTAGGATAATCATCGGTGACAACCGATTACAAATTGGTAAGGAAATTCGTGAGTTATTCTACTTTGAATTCAGGCTATTTTTTGGACCACGACGTTATCAATGTTGACCAGTTTATTATGCCAAACTGACAAACTTTGCTTCGCTATCCTTGGTTACATCCAGGTTTCGCTTCGCTATCCATGTTTACATCGTTGAAAACATCAACGCTGATAGACCAATCAGAATTGGAGCTAATGTTTTCATGGCTTGTGATTGGTCAGATTATGTGATAAGTGAAATAGTCAATTGAAGTACAATACTCACATCGACATTTAGATGAGCTACGTCGAACATCTGGGACGGTGGTGATTCCTTAGGGACGAACCTATAAAATTCCTCGTCGTTCCTGTACCACTTGATAGTATACAAAGCTGCCGTCTCCAAATCGTAATCGCAAACCAGTGTCACGGAATCTCCTATTCTAACAGCTTCCGGCACTCGGATGAACATGTTTTTGAGGGCCTCCACGTCTGGAAAAATAATGAAAAATAAACTGTACAGGATTTGTTTCGGCCCAGTTCTCTCGCAGGCGCCTCCAGAGAGTAAGCAAAGAAATCTATGGAAAGTAAACCAAAATGTATCTCCTGTGGATTCAGAATTATAGTGAGGAGATTGTTAACATGTAGAGATGTATGAGCACATCATATGCATTGAAAAGAAATATTATCAGATATATTATGAACATGAAAAAATGGACAACGTATCATAAATTCTACAGGATGAACTAGACATCAAAATAGACTGATAGAAACCAAATTACCTCTATGCAATGAACCGTTGAGACATGACAAGTCGATGAAGGATTGTTTCATTCACTGATTTCCCTGAATATCTCGGAATTCATGAGAGGTACTGGTCTTGAATTCGTAGGGCGATTTACTATCATGAATGTGCATGAAATCCACGTAATACCAGTTCAGGAGATAGATATTTCATATTCTCTTGAAATTTGATGTGAATTTTCTGGGGTACGCCACTAACCAAATTTCAATATTTCATTGAACGAACAAAATCAATTATTTAACTTTTTTCTAGCCGCAGTTTTTATAATTCTGCCTAATTTTTAGATATCTAACAAAATTCATTTTGACGCTTCCCCATACTTGTTCATAACGTCAGGATTACCTATCATATTTTAGACATTCGTACCTGATTTATGTTGAGTTGACAACAATGTCCATATTCATCATTTTGCGAGCTCATCATCATATGATCTGGGAGGTAAATGGTCGTTTCCAAATTTCATTATTTTTCTCTCAAAAAACTTTGCTATAGAAAAAAAATGTTTTGAAGATGGCCAACAACCATATACAGTCTGACCAAGATAAGGTTGAACAGCATGGGGATCTCGAAAACGGTAGGAGATACGAAGTCGGTTAATCGGGAAAAAAGTTGCGCTTTCGGAGACTCATATCAAGAGCCTTCGGAAATTTTCAAAATTATTTTTAGTTTTTGAGTTATATCGAAAAAAGAGAATTTTTGGAATATCTATTTCATTTTTTTTTCACTGTTATAATTAGAGGTACAAAAAAACTGAAGATACTTTTCAATAGCAACTTTTGATGACGTTTAACGTGGTGATATCGATTTTTTTATGCGACGTTTCGTATTTGTAGAACCATCATCAACTTTTGTTTTTCAAATACGGTCCTGATAATTTTTTTCACAGATTCTGAAAGGTTTCTCTATTCTGAATTCAACCATGTATTATACAAGGTGGTTTAGGTGTGTTTCGACCTATTTTTAGTCATCATCAATGTTTCTTCGAAATTCCAAAGAAAAAATGCCATCAGTTCCACGTATTTTGAAGGAAAATTAGTCAACACACTAATACCTCATCAACTGGTTTCAATCGACAACCTATTTCATTCTGCGGAAACGAAAATTCCATCCATACAAATTCAGAATATGTCAAGCGCTAAAACCAGGCGATGACGAAAGGCGCAGGACATTCTGTGAGTGGTATACCAGGAAGGCAGGAAATGTAAAAATTTTGCAGATTTCCCTTGAACAATCATCTGGACTGATGAAAGCATGGTCAAAGATACCATTATCTTCGATAGAAAAAATACACATTATTGTTCACGAGAAAATGAAAGCAGATCATCAAATGTTTATGCCATACACCAATTTTCGAAAATTTATTGTGAAGAATTTTGAAGTTATAGAGAAAAAAATCGTCTTTGAGGTGTCCTATTGAAAGGTGCGTAGCTTCCTTAGGAAGCATTTTCGAACCCTTAATAATAGGAACTTTTTGCCATATTTCCATTCATTTCACGTTGTTCTGATACACCCTGTTACCTATGTTACCTATATGATGAAAATATAAACAGCTAAGGAAATGGTTGTTTCATATTGAATATGCTAAATAATTTCTCATAAAATTGTTTTAATCTTCCTCACATTTAGGCATCGTAATGCTTGTAATGGAGCTTGTGTACTGTATAGACTTTGTCTTTTTTAATTTCTGAAAATCATTATTAAGTCAACACAACATGCTTGTGTTGTATCTAATTAACATCTGTTTTATATGATGTTAACTTGTTCATTGGAATTTCCCCTCTAGAATTGAGACTCCAGAAGAAGCTATTTTAGCAAAACATATTTTATGTTTATGTTCTCCAGAATTTTTCGGAGATGTTGTCAGTTATTTTATCTCACAATCACGAATAATAATTTCATCTCGAAATTTCAGAATGTTCTTCGAAGTAACCGATGATCTCAATGATCAAATCGATTTTTTCACAACACATGCCCATTTTGGAAAAAATCGCACTTATTCCAACACAATTTTGTATTCTCCAGTTATTGGGTAAACTTAGTTACATTATATATAATATATATATATATATATATATTCATCGTGAAACTCTACAGTATATTCGATATACAGGGTGTCCCATAAGTTATCAAAAGAAGTGGGGTGGTAGGGGGGGGGGTCATTTCCAATCAAACTAACCGTATATGTGGTTATCCAATTGTTGATGATTCAAAAGTTATCAACTTTTTTTCATTTCTATAAAAAGAATTAATTACAATAAAACGATGTCACATTTGTGATTTTTCTCTTTCACAATTTTCATTTACATGGATGCACCTTTCCCCAGGAATAATTTCAGGACATGTATTACTTGAAATATTCAAGTCCATTTTCAAATGCCGCTGGCAGATTTCACAACTACCCCAGAAAGATAATCATCAATCATAAGAAAAAGTTTCCCACCGAATGACGGATAGAACAATTTTAGAAAACAATTTAATACAGATTCCGAAATGGTATAACATATGGGGTAGATTGATTGATTGATTGATTGATTGATTGATTAATAGCAGAATGATCAGTCAGGGTTCGAAGCCCAAAGCACTGCGCCTTTGGACCTATTGTATTCCTGATCATGCTGTTGACTTAGGTGAACAGGTTCGCTACCTTGATAAGGTTTAGCAGCCTCTTCACTGAATCATTCTTTGGAAAGGCCTCTTGAGAGTTTACTGCTCCCAGAAGGTTGTATCTTCAACGCGCTAGTGCTTCGCACTCCAATATCATATTTGTAGCAGTTTCCTCCTCCTTATTGCATAGTCTGCATATGGGTTCGTCTGTATAGATGCCCATTTGAGGCATATGTTTCCTCAAGGGGCAGTGACCGTTTATTAGTCCCGTCACTTGTCTGATCTGCCTTCTGTTTAGGCTCAGAATGTCGTTAGTCACTGTTTTGAACAGTGTTCCAACCATCAGTTTACTGTGTCTTTGTCCTGGGACATTGTTCCAGTATGCCTGATGTCTTTCTTGCATCCACATCCATCCACATATGGGGTTATTCAAAACAGCCAGCAACAAACTGAACTGTTCATTCCTTCATGTTCGTGTCTGTGTTAAGGTCTTTCATGAACATGTTGTACGTATTTATACTTTATATAATATGTCGATTTTATTTATTTCACTATTTTTTAATCCGAAAAGCCACCCTTAATGTAAGTACCTATCAATGTTGTTTTCTGTAAAGTGTGAGAAGTGTTTTATTTTTAACGATTGTTATTTCATATAACTTATTTTGTTTTTATCAAAACCCCTCATTTTGAAATATCATTTTAATATGTATGTTCTTGTTTTTACTTCAGTGTCCTGAAGATGAAACAATAAAGTTTCAGTTTTTTAATAATAACTGGGAAAATATTGTAGTCATCTTTATGAAATTTGGGACATATCTTCTATGCATCAAGGTGCATTTTTTGATGTATATAAATTTTTCTTTCCTCTACTAAAAAACGAGATCGAACTCCAAATTTTGATGTACCTAAATGCTATAAGCTTGAGTACCCCATTCAGGACAGCTATGACTGGATAACCACAGTATTTTTTGTTATGTTCTGCCTCCCACGAAAAGGAATATCCTGTAATGTAATAATAAAATAAGGTAGGAATTGGTGTTCTACTTAAATTTCTGGAAGTTATATGCCTCGGGAAATACCTCAATTGGCAATGTGTTCCAGAGCCTCGCTGTTCGTTGGATGAACGACACGAAGGGGTACGAAGCCTCAACTCGACGAAATTTTTCCACTGTATTAGTCACATAGCAGAACAAATGTTGCCATTAGGCAAAGCTAAACACGGTGGACAAAAAAAGGATCTATGTATATGTTCAACTTTGATAACTTGTATCTCAAAAGTTAAAGAGGTTGCGACATACGTTCATTCGGAGTTTTATTCTTGAAATGGGTCCAAGAGTCGCCCCCTTGAATATTAGCATGTCATTAAGAAACACCCTGTATATTTGTCTCTTATGTCTATTCGCTGGAGATACCCCGATAATGACGGAAATATCTCGGATTCTCTTGAAGTATGATGTCTAGATGGTGTCATATTCTCTGCAAATTCTCCGTCGAATGCCATTCTCCGCAAAATTCTCCGCACACCTCAGAATTTTGCGTCAATCGGCAACACTGCTCGAGATATTCAGATGATGTGGGCGGAAAGAGCATTCTATTTTCCGTTCGACGTTGTCAGCATTTTCGCAAGCGCGATAAAAAGAACAACCCGCCGATATGATGGGATCAGCAGACGCAAACAGTACAAATTATGCATATTGTTTGCTCGCGACAAATTGGTCCGTAAGCTCTGCATTCGAATAAGGTGCTGAATTGATATAGTAGGCGTGTTCTTGAGTGATAGATCACAAGGAAGTTACCTATTTCAACGAGCTTAGTGCCGAGACACGTTGAAACCTGATGTGCTGAAACGAATCATTTTTTGCTTTCAAATCATTTTCAAATCAACCGAATTTTTAAATTGGAAGATAACGGTCACGTTTATACCGTTGCCAAATCGTGTACGAATATGAACAATTTTCGTCTTTTAATCACAAATTCACAAATCCAAAATTGTTCGAATTCGTACCTTGGCGAATAGTTTGAACATTGTTCCTTCGAGTTGACAGATCTTCAAGAAGTACCAAGAATAAGATTTGGACATTGC